CATCCTCTTCATTTGCTTCCCAGATTAAGATATTCTCTTAGAATGTGCCATGTACACCAGGGGGCTGAACCAATGGAGTCACCCAATCACGGACTTGAGCCTCCAGAATCATGACTAAAATAAATATCTCTTTCCTGCATAAGCCTGTGTTACACGTTTCAGTACACTGATAAAATACTAGCTACTATACAAACACACACCAAACAATGGAACAGTCACATCACCATAGAAGGAATATGACAGATAATAAATACATGTCAAGATGCTCAAAAGCATTATGCATGGAAAAATGAAAATCAAAAACAATTTTTGGCAAAGATGTAGAGCAACTGGAAATCTCAAACACAGCTGGTAGAAATGTAAAACTAGAAGAAGCAGTTGAGTAGTTTCACAAAAAGTTAGACCTGTACTCACCACACCTAGCCATTTACTCATGGCCATTTACTAAAGAGAAATATGTGTTTTTAGGTCATGAAACTAGAAGGGGGATCATTAAAGGGAAGGAAGAGATCTTAAGGGAGGAGGGAAATAGGCTAAAGGAACACATGTAATAGGAAGCAGAGAAGGAACTAACTGCAGAAACAAGGAGAGAAGAGGAGGTACCGGGAGGAGAATGGGGGAAGGGAACAAGACGACCAAAGCACAATGACAAGTACGCATGAAATGCCATGATAGAACAAACCTATTAATATGTATACTCAACGAACATTAATAAACATGTCTCCAGTCTTCAGAGGGGAGGAGCTGGAGAGGTAGTTCAGAGCCAATAAGTGCACACTGCAATAGTTAAGATTACTATTTCTGTGATGAAACACTGTGACCAAGGATCAAGTTGGGGAGGAAAGGATTTATTTGGCTTGCCTTCCATATTATAGTCAATCTTTGAAGGAAGTCAGGACAGGAACTCAAACAGGGCAGGAATCTGGAGGCAGGATCTGACGCAGAGGCCATGGAGGGTGCTGCTTACTGACTTGCTCATCCTGACTTGCTCAGACTACTTTCTTATAGAACTCAGTACCGCTAGCCCAGGATAGCACCACTCGAATCGGGCTAGGCCTTCCCCCATCAATCACTAATTAAGAAAATGCGTGACAGCTGGCTTTTATGGAGGCAGTTTCTCAATTGAGGCTCCCTCCTTTCAGATAACTCTAGCTTGTGTCAAGTTGACATAAACTAGTCCAGACACTGATCTTGCAGAGGATCAATTTCAGTTCCCAGCACACACATCAAGTGACTAACTGCCACCTGTAACTCCAGATTACACACCTCTGGCTGTAAGTATACATACTGATACATAGAATTTAAAATAATAAAACTAAATCTTAAAACAAAAAAACATCCAGCAGAGCATGATATATGCCTGTAATCTTAACACTTGGAAGGCAGAGATTAATGCTGGAGGCTAGCCTGAGCTAAATGAAATGGCCCTCAATAAAGTAAAACACTTGATAGGTGTGCTGTAACCCATTTGGCCACAGAGGATGGGTGTCAAGTAAGGGAGGAGGACAGATAGCCCAAGGAAGAGGAAATAGAATATATTGTAATAAGTCTTAATCTGTCCCTCCAGCCAGTTCCCAAATAACAACATGGAGACTTATTATTAATTGTGAAAGCTTGGCCTTAGCTTGGGCTTGCTTTTAACTAGCTCTTCTAACTTAAATTAACACATTTCTATTAACCTACATTCTGCCAAGTAAAGTCCATCCTGCTGCTTATGTGTCTCCTGGTGTTTCCACGTGCATAGATTCATCTCCCTTTCTTTCCCTGGAAATCCTGCCTATACTTCCTGCCTAGCTATTGGCCATTTAGCTTTTTATTATACCAATCACAGCAATGTATCTTCACACAGTGTGCAAATATACAAATATCTCACCACATACACAGTTATGGAGACAGGAGAGATACTGGAGTGGAAGGATTAAGTGAGGAGTAGGATGGATAAAAGGGGTAAAAGAGGGAATATGGAAAGGGACAACTAACACTTGAGGGCCATTTGAGGGTCATACAGACACCTACTACTATAGAAACTTCCTAAAATATTTACATACATGAAATAGATTTAAGCAAAGTCACCAAAAAATGGGGGGAAAGAAGGCCCCACTTAGACATCTTTCCTGACCAAGTAAAATATCCAGTGCCAGGAATGGTTACATCTAGTTGAGTCATTAGCCTAAGAGACACCATAGAAACCTCCAAACATCTCAGGTTATTTCCAAAGCTATTGGATGTTCTCCACAAACTGAAGGTAAATTCCCATTGCTGAAAACAACATCTCATTGAACACAGAGTTGAGCTGGTGCCTTTACCCCTATTGATTAGTGTTCATGGTACTGAAATGCACACTGCACACTACCAGAGGAGAAAGGTAACCATCAACCTAGGTGCAAACTCTGAAATCTACAATGGTGACCTGCCCCCACCTTTGGCAGTGCAATAGGGGTACATATGTTGTGAGGGTAACACACCACTCTAGATTTAAGGCCTGCACCACAAGATGGAACCCATGCCTGACACTGCTCTGGTGGCTAAGAACCTGAGACTCATTAGACAGGAGAAAACCAAATACTATTGTTCTGCTAAAGAAATGAAGCAGTATGACTCCTAATGCCATTCTGCTGTACCACAGATTAGTGCCTCCTTGCTCAGCCATCATCAGAGAACAAACACAGATCCACAACTGGCCAATACCTAGGGAGTGAGAAACTTTAGAACACTCAATCCTAAATAGGGATCAGGGAGCAGAAATACCAAGTGCACATTCGAACTCGCAGAGATTGGGAAGCATGAACAGGGTCTGCATGGGTTCAAAACAGATACAGTCCCAGCACTGAGAGGGCGGGTGTACATGAGTTCTCACCTCTGGCATTCTCTGGCAAAGGAAAATCAGTTTTCTCCAATGGAATCTCATTAGGTAGATTAACTACACTGAAGGTTAGACCCCATGCCCAGCAGTAGGTGGCCGACACTAAAACCAACTCAATGAGATTAAAGATGTGCATGCACTCGTGGGCTCATTCACTTTCTTATTGCCTTTTTGTATTCCTTTTTTCCTGATATGAAGCTTGTTGGACCAGAGTAAGGGTAAGTAAGAAAAAAAAAACCTAATGCCCTCTCAGATAAGTCTGATAGTTTTCCAGTTCCAGCATCAGTTGATTTAACTGAAATGTTTTGTAAACCAAATCAAGGTACAATGAAACAGACAAACAAAAACAAAACCTATCCTAATTCTGCCAAGGATTTGTTGTTGTTGTTGCCATTGTTTTGGGTGGGTGATAAGTGCATAAAATACTATGTAAGATTTAATGTGAAGCCCCACGGCTTCTGTTCGGAATGACCATTCTAACTGTATAAAGTTCATTTAGTTGTATAGATTTTGGGTCTGGTTAAATTTGGTGTGTGATCTTTTTATTTACTTGCAAGCTTTTTAATAATAACATTTATAAAATTAAAAAAAGAAATAAATGTCTTTACAGGATTCACTGACATAAAAACTAAATGTTGACCTCTTAAAAAAATACAACCCTACAAAGACTTACAGGTTAATGTCTATTGCAGCTTTATTTGCATTACTCCAAAACTGGAGATTTCCACAAGTGTATCATTAAGTTAACGTATAAATCTGGAAAGTCAAACAGGGAATTATGTATAACACAACAGAGGAATCTCAAAATAATCTATACAATAAAAACTAGACCAAAAACCATGATTCCAATTTAAGTTAAGGAAGTTCGAACTAATTTCTAGTAACAGAAAGGTCAGTGTCTGGTGTCAGAAAAGGAGGATTATAAAGAATAAGGAACTGGTTTTTTTTTTTTTCTTGTTTGGTTTTTTTCGAGACAGTGTTTCTCTGTATTGTTTTGGAGGCTGTCCTGGAACACGCTCTGTAGACCAGGCTGGGCTCGAACTCAGAGAGATCCGCCTGTCTCTGCCTCCCCAGTGCTGGGATTAAAGGTGTGCGCCACCAACACACAGCAAGAATAAGGAACTTTATAAGGTGGCATTTACATCTTGATTGTATTGATAGTGCAAACATGATAAACTTAGCAAACTGTGTCCACTTTAAATGAGTAGTCTACTGTACGCCCTTTATAGGGACAGCGCTATTCATTTTTTGAAACAGGCTCTCACTAGGTGGCCCTGGCTGGCCTGGAACTATCCTTTTAAACTAGGGTGGCCTGGAACTCAGGAGATCCACCAGTCTCTGTCCCGCCTCCTGGTGCTGGGACTAAAGGCGTGCGCCACAGTGCTATTTTTCAGGCAGTGATACTAAGAGTATACGGAGGGGGAGGGAACACGAAAAGTGGATAGGGGTTTTCTGGCTGCCTTGCAAAGATAATGGTCAGTACAGCGGGCACCAATGCGAGAGCTGTAGGTCCAGTCGGGTCGCCTATACGGGCATAGCTGTGTAAGCAGGTCTCAACACCTCAAGGAGGAGCTGAGCGAGAATGCACACCAGAAAGATTATCCTCCTCCCTCGAGCTCCGAGGGTACCGAAGGGCCAAGCGCATCCCCACTAGTCCGCTTTGCAGTAGTCGTAAATACTTGGGAACGGTTTGTGTGTGCGGGATTTGGAGAGCGATGGCTGGTTTTGCTGCGCTTTCGGTTTGAAGGCGTTGACGTGGCACAGATGAAAGCTGGCACACACGCAGTCGAGAAGGAAACTACTCCTGCGGCCAGAAACTACCCCACCACCACGGGGGAATCCTGCGTCTCAAACCCCAGCACCTTTCCCTCAACTCCCGGATGCACGGATCAGCAGCCCCACCTTCTTCTTCCGCCCGGAAGCGCTTCAACCACCTACAGGAGGAAAACCCTCTGCCAGCCACGGCGCACCTCACCGCAGCGCGCAGCCGCGGACGGCTCGCCTTACGGCCGGAGGGGCGGGGCGGAAGCGTGTGGCGCAGAATGAGCTTAGGAGCGGCGGGGGCTTTTGCGACGGGACGTAAGTGACGGCGAAGGTGGTGCGACAGCTGCTGGAGGGCCGAGGAGGCGGGTTTGTGTTTCCAGGGCCGAACCAGGATGAGGGGGGGCGCGGGTCCTGGGCTTGGGTAGCTGGAGGCCCTCAGCTACAGCCATGAGTGAAGGGGAACGGCGAGGGCCAGGCCGTGGGCATCTTTGGGCGGTGGGTGGCTCCGAAGGGCTGGCGGGGCCGAGAGCCGGCTCCCGGTCGGGAATCTGACCCGTGTCTTCCCCGAACTCGCAGAGCGGCGGGTCCTGTCCTCGCCATGAGGCCGCAGCAGGCGCCGGTGTCCGGGAAGGTGTTCATTCAGCGAGACTACAGCAGCGGCACGCGCTGCCAGTTCCAGACCAAGTTCCCCGCGGAGCTGGAGAACAGGGTACGAACGCAGCCCGGCTCCCTGCACCTGCCCTGGGGAGGGGGAGTCGGTGGAGCGGGAGGGGGTGTGGGTCTGCCATCCCACCCGCTGTCTCGTGGTTCTGGGAAGCAGCAGACCTCACAGTCACAGCAAAAGATGGACGAAGAAGGTATGGTCCAGTGTCTGCTAAGGCCAGCGCTCATACAAAGAGATCTCAAGAGAACTTTAAGATGCACGCTGCCTTCTGTCTACCCAGGACGCACAGACACACACACGCACACACACACACACACACACACACACACACACACACACACACACACACACGGTTATTGACACCTTGATGAGGTGCTAATTCCTGACACTCCAGGCACACACACACACACACACACACACACACACACACACACACACACACACACGGTTATTGACGCCTTGATGAGGTGCTAATTCCTGACACACTCCAGGCCACCTCATACAGCCTGTGGTAACCTGTATCCTACTGCCTTTCCACACCAAAGAAAACGTCATCATCATTCTCATGACTGATGTCTGTGGTCACCGTGCTCGATCATCCTGTTCAGCCGAAAGGGTTTATTAGTGATGTGCCTGGTAGGCCAGGCAGGCCTTCTTGGAACCTTAAAAACGTACATGGGCCTGGGCAGGAACGACTAAGGAGCTTGTAGTGAGCTCTTCACTCCCCGACGTAATCACTGTTTGCCTTTGCGTATTCACAACTGTCATCAGGGGATAAGGCCTTTGGGTGGCCTTGTAAACAAAGGCGGGTTTGTTTAGCATCCCTTAGGATTTAACAGCACCCAAAAGTCTGTCCTGCTTTAAAAGTTACTGCCGGGAGCTTGTGTGTGCCTGTGTCTACCCAGTGCGATTCTTTTGTTCTTCAGGGATATTGCTCACATTCTGTTTCCGGTTCAGAAGTCAGTTTCTGAAAACTGAGCTAGGAGGGTGAGGAACTTGGAGGTAATTAAGCGTGGTGTGTTTGTGTGAGGCTAAGAAATGCTGGTCGTGGAACTAGGTGGGTAGAGATGAGTGTGTACTAGAGAAATGTGTCCTGGCTGTTTAAAATCAGCTTGTTGGGTTGTAGGCTGGGTATGTAGCTCAGTGCTAGAACCTGCTCGTAACTGGTTGAGGGCCTAGGGTTCTGTCCCCAGCACTAAATAGTCAGGCCTGTCATCCCAGCTAGTAGCACTAAGACAGGAAGGCGGCAAGTTCAAGGTCAGCCTCAGCAGCTTAAGGATACCCTGCTCCAAACCAGCTTGAAAAGGGTGGGGATCCTGATGGCATAGTCCCGTGGTAGACCACTTATCTAGCACGAGTGGGGCTCTGGTTTTGATCCCCAGTACTGACTGATTTTTAGTGTTGGAAAATCACTGATTATTGTCTTCTCCTTAAGTTTGATTTATGACCATAGGCAAATTAGTGGCCCAGTTGCCTTTTTTTTTTTTAATCTGCAAATTAAAGATCAAGGTTTGAAAAGATGCCATATAAATAGGATGTGGCCGTGAACAACTGGGTACCAGAGGCAGGATTCTGGTTATAGACGGCTATGGACTGCATAGCAAGACTCTGTCTCACAGAGGGTGAGAAAGGAGAGGGTAGTGTGATTTTGATTTACTTGTTGTGAAATGCCATTTAAATGCCTTTGTTTGCTAGTTTAAAAGTCAAACGTCTCTCTTTATTGAGCCAGACACATGTATGCAAAGTCAGGCATAACCTTTTCCTATGATAGAACCATTCTTACTTAAATAGCAAGATGTAGTTGCATTACCTCTCATATTATTACAGGAAATTGGTGTTGCTAAATTCTGGCCTCCAAAAATGGTGTTTCTTTGACTTTGATAACCCAGAATTGCTTGTGGTACTGAGCACTATACAGAATGTGCCTTTGATTTTGTGTGTCTCTGTGTGTGTGTGTGTGTGTGTGTGTGTCTGTGTCTGTGTGAGTTAAACACTTTTCATACCTTAACCTCTTGGGAGAGCTTTATGTGTGTGTGTTGATTATAAATTTTAAGTTTTCCTTACTTTGTATGACGGGAAAGGTTTATTTCTCTACTAACCTAGAAATACTACTGATTGCTCTGCCAGTAGGCTTGATTTCATTCTGGGGAATACCATACTTGGCAGTTTAATAGAGAAAGGAACTAATACACAAATGTCATACATTATAGTAAAAACAAAATGCATGCATGCCATTTAAGAGCACAGACCAATTGTGTCAGTTAACAAGTGTACTTCCCCCTGCCTTTTAATTTTTTGGTGGTGTGTGTTTCAAGACAGGGTCTCACTATGTAGCTCTGACTGTACTGGAATTCACTAGAGACCAGGCTGACCTTAAAGTCACAGATATCTGCCTGCCTCTACCTACCAAGTGCTGGGATTAAAGGTATGCTGTGTACCACTAACCCACTCTCAGTGAGCTTGGAGAAACGCTGCCTCTGTGTGTGTGTGTGTGTGTGTGTGTGTGTGTGTGTGTGTGTGTGTGTGTCTTTGCTTCTGACCTAAGGGACTTAAGAGCTCAAGGAGTAGATCATAAAGTACTATTTACTCTCAAGATTATTTTTTTGGGCAGGATATATGGCTTCAAGATAGAGTGCTTGCCCAGTGTGTTTGAGGCCCTGGCTCAAATAATAGTGTCTGATGAAATGCTCTACTAATGAATGGGCCTTTAAAACTCTAGGATAAAATATAGAAATTTCAAGTCTACAGAACATTGTTAGAAGAAGAAAGTAAAGACAAATTACTAGGGCTGGAGAGACAACTCAGTTTTTAGAGTAGTTGACTAAGGTGCAGGAAGCCCTAGGTGCTGTCTCCTGCTCCAAATACAATTAGGTGCGATAGTCTGTGCCTTTAATCCTAGCAAGATAATCCTAGCAAGATGGAGAAGACTCAAGGATCAGAACATGAAAGTCATCTTGTCTTTAGCTATGTAATGAACCTGAAATCTGGAGTACTGGAGACCCTGTCTCAAAAGAAAACGAGCATTGACTAGAGTGGAGAGCAGGATGCAGTAGCAGCTCTGTGCTTTGCTACTTAACGGCGGGAGCGTGATCTGGGAAGTTGCTGCAAGGCGCTTGTCTCCTGAGCACTGTGTGTTCGGATATGTCGTGGAACTATTGGTAAAGTTTTCTGGGACATACACAGCCTGTCCTTGACTAAAGTATCACTGGGAGACAAATGTATTAGTGTGAACACAGGGTAACAATGTCACTATATAGAGTTTAGAAATGTCTTTAATGTGAAGCATCGTGTCAGTTTTCATAGTATGAAGATCTAATAAAATAATTGCTTCAAAAAAGGATCCTGAGAAAACAACATAGAATTTACCTTTTGGTCACTCTACTTAAAATACTCTTGCCCTTTTGCCTAGTAAATTCAGTAATCAGATGCTTGTTTTAAGATTGTATACTCCAAGCAGTTATATTAGTGACATGGGTCCAAATTTAATCACATAAAAGGTTGTTTGCCTTGACTTTGGGGGTCTTTTTTTAGACAAGGTCTCATGAACCCAGGCTGATCTCAGCATTTACTGTGTAGCTAATGTCTTAGTTACTGTTCTGTTGCTGTGAAAAGACACACGATGAAGGCACCTTATAAAAGAAAGTAATTAGGGACTTGCTTACAGTTTCAGAGGGTAAGTGGACTCCATGACCATCATGGTAGGGGACATGGCAACAGTCAGACATGGCGCTGCAATAGCTGAGAGCTTACTTCTGATCCACAAATTGGAAACAGAGAAAGCTAACTGGAGTGGCAAGAGCCTTTTGAAGTCTCAGTGCCCACCCCCAGTGACACACTTCCTTCAACGAGGCCGCACCTTCTGATCCTTAGCAAACAGTGCCACAACTGGGGACCAAGCATCAAGCATGGACCTGTGGGGCCATTCTCCTTCTAATCAGCACAGCCAAGAGTGACCTTGTACTACTGACCCTCCTGCCTTGGCATCCCATATTCTGGGATCACAGTGTATACTGCCATGCCTGATCTTATTTCTTGTCTTTTAAATTCAGAATATTGTCAAAACAATAAGGTGAATTTGTGGTAGCAAACAATGAGTTGACCATCTTGCTTCTAAACTTATTTTAAATTCTTTCCTTCCCACAGATTGATAGACAGCAGTTTGAAGAAACAGTGCGAACTCTAAATAACCTTTATGCGGAAGCGGAGAAGCTTGGGGGCCAGTCATATCTTGAAGGCTGTTTGGCTTGTTTAACAGCATATACCATCTTCTTATGCATGGAAACTCATTATGAGAAGGTATAGCTACATGTATGTTCAGAATCTCTGCAGATCTTGAAAGAAGATGAGTTTTTGTGTAGTAACAGTTGCTTTAAACTTTGGAAGCATGGATAATAATAACTGAAATTTGTTACTGCTCCTGTGTCCATAACACATAGGAGTAAGTCCTAAGTGTTTCAGAACAGGTCAAAATGTGTGTGTCTGCTTGGAGTAACAGGTCAGTGTTGAGACTCCATATGGAAAGTGGACATATAAAATCTGTGTGTCTTCATTGTCTCCAGTTATTGTCCAACCTGAGTTCTTCCTCTCTCAGTTGCCCACCAGATCTAGAGTTAAGGTGCTGAGAATACACGCGTCCCATCTCCCGTGCTGTTTAGGGGTACCCTGCCTTTTCTAGCCTGTCTTTAGGTGTGAGAACTAGAGAGGGAAGCTGTCGGTTGTAAAGAACTGAAGTGTTTTCTGTTTTCCATTTGTTAAAGTGTCATGATGCTCTCTGCCGTCTTCTCTGTTGCTACCCCTCCATCTCACGCTTAGACTAGCGTTATCTTAGCTTGTTTCTCTATGTTCTTTGCTTTTCTTTGCCTACCTTCCACTGTCTTTATATAAAACACAGCCTTACTTCATAGCCTCTCCTAACTCAGTAGCCTTCATCGTTTTCCAGTTAAGGCCGGATCAGGCAAGACCCTCCTGAAGCTGATGTCAGATCACCTTTCTTACTGTCTCCCACACTATTCCTTCGATTGTTTCAACAGCCGGACTTGGTTAGTTTTCAGTCAAACAGTAGAGTAGCTCTGTGGTTCTTGTCACCTCTAGTGACTGTTCTGTCCATTCCCAGCTTCAACCAGGCCTCTGTTTCCTGTTCCTGTCCGACTTTACTCTTAGAATCAGATATGTCTCTTGTGTCCTGATAACATTTAAATGGTTCTTGTCCATTTTCTGGCATTAATGATGCATCACTGTGGAACATAGAGATAGGTGTCCTCATCATTTTTCTTCTTCAACTACAGGTATTGCCTTAACCTTTTTGCTATTCATATTAATGCCTAAACCATGACTTGGCTATATTGGGCACTCATTGAATGTGTGTTAAATAACTATGTTACCACAGGAAACTCCAAACATGCCTATAAATTCTTACAGTGTTTGCAGAATGAAATCCTGTAAGGGTACCCACAGTACAGACCACCTAAAAGAAATGTCCCTGTGAGTATCATACATTCCATGTAAGGGAGTGCAGAAAGAGTTGCGGCTGGAATAGTGGATCTGTTGGAGACTAGATAGCTCAGTAGCAGAGCACTTTGCCTAGCATGTGTAAAGCCCCTGGTTTGTGGTAGCATATGCCGGTAATCTCACCAATTAAGATCAGACATTCAGGACCAACCTCTGTTACATCGTGAGTTAAAAGCCAGCTTAGGCTTCATGAAATAAAATCTGTGGAGCTATCGCTGAAAGTGCTACTTGATTCTTCACTAGCATCCTCTTCACCCAGATCATCATTCTATCTTAAGAAAAACCTTTGTTTAGACAACTGAAGGGCTTCCAAACTTGTTCCTGTCTAATTTTCAAAATCACAAGTTCTTAGTCTTTCCTTTAGTCCTAGTGTCTCTTTTTTACTTTTTTAATGGTCTGTTTGATGAATGAAGGGTCAGAGGATTTTCTCATTCAAGAAGTATGAATTAAAAAGCTTTCAGGGGCTAGAAAGAGGGCTTGGCAGTTAAGAGCACTGACTGCTCTTCCAGAGGTCCTGAGTTCAATTCCCAGCAACTACATGGTGGCTCAAAACCATCTATAATGGGCTCTGGTGCCCTCTTCTGGCATGTAGTCATAAATGTAGACACAGCACAAAGGAAAAAAAAAGAATATTAAAAAGTTTGCAGTGCTATGCTAATCAAGATACCAGGGGCAAAACCGCACAAGGCAAACAGGCGTGGTTGCTGACCTTGTGGGGCTTATAAGGTAGTGGTAGCAAGAGATAACAACAGGAGAGAAGTAAAACCTGCGAGACCGTGATTGTCATAGTGCTGTGAAAGAAGCCGACTGGCCTCCCATAGGAACTGTCAAGTTGGGACCCGTGTAAGGTTGTGTGTGATCAGAAACGGCCTCTGAGGTGCTGACTAAATGTCAGCTTCTAGACACAGGCGAGAAACCGCATTCCATGCAGACAGAGGTGAGTCTATGTAGAAGCGCCCTGAACCTGATGGGTCCTAGAGACTAAAAGCAGATGCTGTGGCTCAAGATGAGGACCAGAGGAAAGGTGCTAAGTGAGGGTGAGAGCTGGGTCGTGGGGGAGTGCACAGTTTGGGAGGAAGTAGAGTTTATCCCAGCTATAGCAGGAGCTGCTCAGATTTTATACAGTAGATAGGGCAACACCGACTCTAAGTAGTCTTCAGCCCTGTGGAGAAAGAGCCCAAGAGTGGGAATGGACAAACAAGGTATGGAGTTCACCGAAGTCCAAGCTGAGACTGCGTGATTAGGAGGAGGGCAGTTTGAGTGGAAGGAAGTGACTAATTCCAGACTAATTCCAAAGGATATGCTGATAACAACCAGGATTCAGGCAGGAGCTAACTTTAGGGATGGAGAGGAAGTTGAATTCCCTTAGTTAAAAACACAGCCATCCATCGGTGCTCTTAAAGAAGTATGTACGTGTCTGCCAACGGTGGGAGAAGTACCTCCTTTGGGGTGAATTAATAATGGGGTACTACACAAGTCATTCTAGCTACAGGATCTTGAACACATTCATTTTCTTGGAGTTCTCTCAACTGTAAAGTAAATCTTAGAATTAATATATTGCCTCACCTATAGTACATTTCTTGAAGTAGAATTCTAAAAAACATTTGTATGCATTTATGTATTATGAGCACACACGTATATATGCTAGGGTACCTGTGGTGATCAGAGAGCATGTACAGGCCCTTTCTTCCTCTGTTTGATGGGACAGGTTCTCCTTTTGTTGCACACTGCTGCATATTCCAGCTAGCTGGCCCTTCCTATCTCCTGCTAAGGTGTGCTTGGATTGTAGATGCTTGTCCTTCTGTGTCCAGCTTCTGCGTGAGTTCTGGGGGTCTGAACTCAGGTCATTAGGCTTGCACAGCAAACCATCCCCCATCCACTGTTTCCTTTAGTTCTCTATGAGTCATTTAGACTCTGGTGTTTTAAATACTAAAGTTTCTTAGTCTATGAACAGTAATCCAAATATAATGTTATACCTTATCATATGGGTTGAATTTTTTTAAATTGTCAGTAGTCCTTTTAAAACTTACTTGAACAATTATGCACTTGTTGCTTAAAATACGCTATTTGTTGATATTTCAGGGAAGATAAAGACGTTAGTGTTATTTTTCCATTGTTGCTATCTATTAGAATTAGAGAACAATTGAGCTTGTAGAAGGTTCTCCTCACTGTCTGCTTTGTTTACCAACCTAGAAAGCATCACTTCTGCCTGTGGGTTGTAATTAGAAAGACACTTGAATATTTGCTGAAAAATGGAGATTCTGATCTCAACTCAGCCTGGCTCATGCTATCTCTCCAGCAGCCTGTTTGTAGTGTCACATTCTTAGGAAGAGCAGGTGTCTGTTCTGGAGGTTTGAGTATGGTCACGTTTCATTTTATAAGTTATACTAGTTGAGGTTGTATTGAGCATTTGTAAATAAAGTAATTTTGTTTTTTGGGGGGGGTTTTGTTTTGTTTTGTTTTGTTTTTGTTTTTTTTTTTTTGTTTTTACGAGACAGGGTTTCTCTGTATTGTTTTGGAGGCTATCGGTCTAGCCCGGCCTCGAACTCACAAAGATCCGCCTGCCTCTGCCTCCCAAGTGCTGGGATTAAAGGCGTGCGCCACCACCGCCCGGCTTGGTTTGTTTTAACATTGGTTTAAAGTACAAGAACCAGTGAGATGGCTCAGTGGATAGAGGAACTTGTGTGTAGGTCCGATGACCTGAGTTTGAGCGACAGGAGAGAAATGACTCCTGATAGTTGTGCTATGGCCTTCACACATGTGTCCTGACCAAGCACATACTTATATACATATACACATAAAAATTAATTTAATAAAAAATTAATTTAAGCATGAATAAAATGTCTTATTGACGTCTCGGGACAGAAGTATCAGGTACAGTTTGGGATGGCTACCCATATTAACAGTTTACCATTACTAGGAATGAAGAGTCCAAAAGCAACTTGCATTACCTTCTCCAAAATAGTGTAAGAAGATTTGGAAAAGAGAGAGGGAGAGAGAGAATAAATTATTTTGTTCTGAACTGATAGCCAGGTACACAGAAATGGTACTAAAGGTTAAACAGAAACTTAACCCAACAAATTATGCTTGAATCAAATATCAAATAAAGGAATGCTATTTCCTTGCTAGTAATCTGTGTCCAAGGAGAAAAGCTGTTCTAAAGAACTACCTATGCACATAACTCTGTGTTCCTCTGCTATTAATGGACTGGGGCTAAGCGAGACTTGGTCTCCAGGTTCCCACTCTGGTGGTTGAGGTAAGGAAATTGGAAGATGATCGAATGACCTGAGTGGAACTCCTTTCCAGACTGCTTCCTTCCACTCATTAATTTAGAGTGATTGACAGGCTGTGAAGATAATGCCTGTGGGCTTGCTCATAATGACCAAGCAAAGCTCACATTCTTCAGTGCTGAAAGTGGGACAGTGGTATGTATACACAGTGCTGCAGGGTTAGGTTAGAAACTGTTACTTTCAGAAATAGCCTTTTCAATTTACTAAATAAAGAACCATGGAGATTGCTCACTCGCTATCTGAGCACACCGTTTTTTAAAGGTAATAATCCTGAGATTGTATTACCCCCAGGGACAGAATCTAAATAGCATACATATATTTTCCTTCAACAAGAAAACTATTCAAACCATAGCAGAGCTTTATATTTTAGGTTACTTTATACTAAAGTCTCTCTGTTGTAACCTCTGTTTCCTTTGTTCCTTTCCCTGGTACATCTGTACACTTGGGCTTGGCATCCAGTGCTGCTTTGTTTTCATGTGTTGCTTTTCCTCTTTAACTTCATCATTTACTCCTAGTGTGTATCTAAGGAGGTGCTGGGTAACTTAAGACTGAATCACAGTTCCTGAGGCTGCTCAAGTCAGAAAGGGTTCTGATGACTTTGAGCCTGAAGTAAAACATGGAGTCCCTTGACTTTAGCTAAAGCCATTAAGACATATTTTCTCACTCTCTCAGAATTGACTGTTTCTCAGAGTTCCTTTGTGTCCTGTCTGGGTTTTGTCTACGTTTGTTTTGACTTTTACAAGCTTAATACTAAATTTATAATTTGAAGTTCCTGTCTAGGAAACAAGAACAAACTGCAGAGTATCAATGTATGCAAACATAGGAATGATTCGAGACACCTGTGTTAAGAACCCCCTCCCCCCAGCACTCAAGTTTGTGTGTCTATGTGCTTTACAAAGGAAATGAACCTCCCAGGAGCATGACAGAGCTCCCTTTGTTATAGGCCGAGCTGTTGCTTTAAATGGCTGGAATCACAAAAAGGAGAACAATGGTTCTTGAGCAGGAAGTTCTTACACAACAAAAAACGATTCTTCATATTAGAAGAGGTCATATTAGCTGACGACATTTTGAGTAGTAGGATTACTGTATATAAACATTTCCCTGTGTCCGGAACAAGGTGAGCGGGCTAGGGGATGGTTCTCACTGTATCTGTGTACATTTGCCCTGCACTGACGTCCAACACACTGTACACACTGTGTCTTGTGTGTAGTGGATAAGAGCCATATAACAGACTCTGCTCTGCCTTGTAAATGACTTGCATTGAAAACCAGCTCCCTGTCTGTGTATTCTGAGATCTAGCTAACACTTCAAGTGAAATCTGTAAAAAGCTGTGATGTTTCCTTCTGACAGGTCCTGAAGAAAGTCTCCAAATACATCCAAGAGCAGAATGAGAAGATATATGCTCCCCAAGGCCTCCTCCTAACAGACCCCATTGAGAGAGGACTCCGAGTTGTATCTTTTTAGTGCAGATCAGAAGGTCTAAATATCTATAAAAAGAAAATTGTAATGGTACTGTTTTGCCTTGGCCAGAGAGAATTTAACTCCTACCCCTTATGTGCATTCAGAACTTTTGTGTGAATTGTATACCATAAGCATCCCTTCGCCAGCATGTTTTCTTAAAGCCCATCTCTCTGAACTGGTTACTGCCTTTCTTGGGTCTGAGGGCGTCTTATGGTAAAAATGAAGCTTGTAAGCTAGCATATCTCAGCTGCCGACACTAGCAGCCTGGAGCCCCTTTGAATTGCGTGATGAGATTTGTCATCCAAATGAATTGCAGCCCACAGGTTCATCGGACTAGTTGAAGTCAGTTACAGCTGCCAGATGTGTAATTCCATCACCTTTGACATACTGTCTATATTTTCAGAGGCAACAGGCCTTGAGTAATCACTAAGTAGATTTGGTAAATAAAATCCTAAAACCTCATTTACTTGATAAATGAAGTAATGGCTAAATAATTTTTACCCAGCCACATCATCCTAGGCTGTATGCAGTTGATAACTTTAGAGTTTTGTTTTATTTGGCAGAAATGGCTCTTTAGGGGTCACATACCCTCTCCATGAAAATACTTTAATATTATTTTGTGGTATTTTTTGAGCCCCTGGATTCCTATGAGCTCTTAGCTGCAAATCTCCTGGTTACAAAAATATTTTCCAGGGGCTGGAGAGTTGGCTCAGCTGTTAAGAGTACTGGCTGCTCTGGCAGGGGACTCAGGTTTGATTCCCAGCCCCCATGTGGCAGCTCACACCCATAACTCCAGTTCCAGGGAATCAGACACACCTTCTAACCCTAACCCTTTGTGTATGTACATACATGCAGGCAGAACATACACATAAATAAGTGTTAAAAAAACAAACTTTGCCATTCTTTTTAAAACTAGTGTTTTCTCAAATCATTGCAGATAATTAAAACTCTATGCAATGCAGAAAAAGAATGTTTAACTGAAGTAGAAAGACATTTAATAGTTCAAAGATAAGAAAAACATAATCTGCACGAACCAAACTGTGCACATCATCTTGCTGTTGTCTGTCCCTTCGTGTGTTACAGTCCAGTGTGTTTTCTTAACGGCCATGCTGTTTAGATTGAAATCACCATCTATGAAGACAGAGGTGTGAGCAGTGGAAGATAAACCATAGAATTAAAGGTGAGTATGAAATCACATGGTTTAATGAAGTTTTAGAATCTTTAATTATGCATGACTTTTCCCCTACCTGGTAAATAACAGACTAAATCATGTAAGGAACTCCACTCATTGTATGAGCTTCAGCTAATCACAGGTTCCCGTTGTATTTTAAATGTGTATGTAACCCAAAATTGACTTGATTATAAGCTTTATTTTTTGTTTTTTCCCTCTCTGTTATCCTAAGACTGGTTGCTATTGTGATATTTTGAGAGGAGTTTGTTTGGCTTGTTTAATACTTGAGCTGTCCTAGCCTCCTAACTGTCAGGTGTCTGCCTGTATGCCTTGGCTTGAAGGAAGCCCAGGGACATTCCAAGGGACATGGCTTCAGAACTTTTTAGAAGAAACTTTACCTGGAGGGTACAACATAAATTTCATTCCTTAATATTCTTGTATATCCAGTGATACCCTTAAATAAATAGAACATATTAGTTACAGTAATAAAACCTGTGTCAGATATTGTTGAGCCTGTCCATCTATCTGTCCAGCTCTCTAAAGGACAGAGTGGAATTTCACTGTCCCATCCATGTCAGTTAATAGTTCTACCTCGATTCGCAGGGGTCTGCTCCTGACACAACATACAAAGCACACGTCTTCTAGGGCAACAAAAATAGCAGATGCCATTTGTGGGCTCCTACTCTGCTGGGTATTCTACTTCTGAATCTCACAAGTGCACTTCAGATGAGCAATCTGAGACAAATAGACTAGTGATCAGGGTCACACAGCTAACAAGTGTTGGATGAGCTCGAGGCTGATTAACGAGAAAGGCCTGTTCTAAACCATGCTTTGTCTCAGTGTTTACAGCAACAGAAACACAGAAAGGGCAGATAGATCATGGGTGTTTTAATGTTAATCCCCCTTTCTTTTTTGCAGTAGCTTTTTTAAAAATCCATTTTGTCTCCTGTTCATTTACTGAATCCTATAAATCACTCAACATTCCAAAACTGCAGTCTTTTAGCTATAGTTAATGTGTCACCTAAAGTTTTGAAAGCCAGGAGTCTAAATAATGACTGCCATATGTTTTATTTCTTCTGAAAGGCTTTGTTTTGAACACATGGTGTTACTTGTCCATACATTTTCTCATGTACAGTTTCCAATCTGATATTTCTCAGATGAACTCTCTGTGTGGTTTTTGTTATGTGCTGTTGGAATAAGTTTATCAATTACAGCTGCATTGACTTTGCACAGCCCATTTGTCATGACTCCTTTTGTAAGTGTTACTGCTTTAAAGATGTTTTTCTGAGGTGGTATAAAGTTGTGAGCAGTTGTATCCCAGAGCCTAATATATCAGTATTAAGACAACAGTGACACTTTGAATTGGGAAAGATTTGCATAGGATCTTCTAGATAGTTTTGTTCAACGCAGTGCAGTTTACAGACCTTGTGTTCCTTCGTTCCAGGATCCAGTGTGGGGTAGGGTGTTAGAGAAGGACATTAAACCATAAGAATGGTTTATTTAGTTTGGCTATTTCTCTTAAGTCTGCAAGGTGACTATAGTTTGAAGTATTATTAGATGGGAATTAATAGTGCACTTCAGTTTTCAAATATCCTACTGTCTATACTAGATACATGTTTTCTCTCTTAAACCATCTGTATTTAAGGATGAAATAGGGGCAGGAGAGATGGTTCCACTGTTAAGAGAGCTGACTGCTCTTTCAAAGGACTCAGGTTCAATCACCAGCACCCCCTGGCCATAACTGTAACTCCAGTTCAAAGAATCTGACACTCTATCCTGGCCTCCCTGGCACTGCGCATGGATGGTACACAGATACATGTAGGCAAAACACTGGTACACATAAAATAAAGGTTAAAAAAGGAGATTAAATATAATTGCCAGCAGAATAAATTAGTGAGTGATTAAAGTAGCTGTCATTTGTTAGCACTTACGTGACAACATGTTCTAAGTGATTAATCACCACAACTCTGCTAAACAGTTGGGTATTAGCATAGCTCATGTCATTCGTAAGTGGTGGTTTTCAAAGTTATATTTAGCATTCCTTTCTAAAGTATTTACTTTTCACCTATTACAGATCCCGCCTCCAGCTGGGACCTTCGTCTATCCACTGGCCGATGGCAGAGTGTCCCTACCTCCTCTCCAGAGCGTTATTCTCTTGTATCTGCTGCCAGAGCCACGGTGCCACACCTGGAGTGACTTCTTGTCACTCAGCATCCACTTCGTGTCTCCCAATTGTGTAGGACTCTGTAATCTTTTGATTCATTTCCAAGAAAATACAAGGAAGCATTCACTTTTTAAAATTCAAAGCCATTTAAATAATAAGCAGTTAGTCAGCTCAAGACAAAGTCTTTTTCTTAACTGACATCAGTATCATTGATTCTATTCATTCCTTGGGCCAGTTCCCCAAGTGGCTTTATAATTCAACATGTCATGTCTTAACGCAGTTACTCCCCTAGATTAGTGACAGGCTTTGAGGGTGTGTCACACCTCTGGTTTGGCTAATGCACCACCCAGATCTCCAAAAGCTGCCGGTCTTGACGTGATTCCAATCTCAAGATTGATTTCTGCTGTTCAATTTCAGAAACCGAAGCTCCCTGAGAGAATAATATATGTCATTTGTTTTAGTATTGCAGTTATTATTAAAGCAGTATTTAATGCAATTCAGGTTATTTCTTTGAAAGCATTTATGTTAATGTGCATTACCTCGAAATGTGGGGAAGATGTGTGTGTTGCTTGTTCGTTACACAAATAAGTAAGCACAATAAGTAGATGCTCAGCCATCAGATATGCCTGTCCCTGCTCTGCCCCAAGTGTGTAATAAGCAAGTGTCCTAATAAGCAAGTGACATTTAACTCTAGTTTTGTTACAAATATAACTTAGGAGAAAAAGTTGATAGGAATTATACTTTATGTTGCTAATTTGTAACCTACTCATAAACTGATTCATAGCCTCCTCACATACAGTATTCAGGGCACAGAAATCTTTTGATTGACTCAGTAAGTTCTGGCTTCCACATTAAACTTGCAAGTTCAAGTCCACTTTTCCTATACTCTTAGTATTGGAATTTCTTATGTCCTTTCTTTTAGGAGTTGGAGAGCACTGTATTTGGGAGAAAGATAAGAAATCTAAGAAATGAACGAAGCAGTTAAAAGTTTAACTTTTAGAGATATTGTAGGTGCTAATACTGGATTTAATCTTTCAGATTTAATTTGTTTTCTGGGCCTTGTAGTTATTTAGTAAACTCCCATAGATCTGTGTAATAATTTAATTGTATAAAACTCATTTGTTCCTTTAAAGCCTATATTAGTCTGTCTGCCTTTTAAACTTGTTGCAATAACTTTGCTGAAATATTAACACATTAGTAAAACTTTTCTTAAATAAACTCTGTGTTGTAGTTGATGTGATTTGATAAGGTAAATGGTGTGGCATTGTATTTGGAAGACATGATAGAGTAACATACAGTATATCTAAGTATTTTTAATTTTGTGTATTGTATGTGGATGCAGTCATGCCATGGCATGGCATGTGGAGGCCAGTTTTCTCCTTCCACCGTGAGAACCCCAAAACACAAATCATCAAGGTTGGTAACAAGACTCTACCTGCTGAGCCATCTTATCCACCCTCACTTAATATAAATAGTTTCATTAGAAAAGACTTGTCAGAACTATAATATCTTGGCTCATCTGACCTTTAAGAAATACGTTAGATTCATAGACTGGGGAGATGACTCAGTGGGTTGGTAAGCACACTTGCCCCAGCCTGACCACCTCTCGGTCTCCTATTCCCACTCGACGGAAGAGGAGAGCCAATCCCACAAGTTGGAATTTGTTCCCTATTGCATACCAGGCAAGCATAGGCACACAGGATTTTTAAAAAGGATACAAAATACAGTCTATTCTGACATTTTACTGTGAGCTTATTTTCCTATAGGAAAAATTTTACCATCTTTCTATTGAAGTGAGCAGACAGCAATATGTGTAGTTATATACTTCTCCATGCACAAAACTTGTAACTGTAAAGATAGCAAATAGTTAATTCACACAATATTTGCCCTTAGCAAGATAGAGGTTCTAGACCACCCAGCTTCTGGGATACTTCAGGATACATACAGCTTGATTTAAGGTAAGATGGAGTTATATGGGCCTGACAGATGGCCTCAGAGATACCACCAAGCCTGACAACTCAGACTGGCTCCCCAGGACTCACATGATGAAGAAATAGTTCAACAAGTAGCCCTCTGACCTCTGTGTTTGCTTCGGCGGGACCACCCCACCGGTGCCGCACAAATGCGTGGTGTGGGGTTGCAGTTACCCAAGCAAGGATGGCTACTCAACATTATATTCTACTTCCAGTACCTTAGAGGAACAATTTTGTTAAGTGTGCTTACAGCCAAGAAATTCTATAGGGGACTGGGAACATAGCTTAGTGGTAGAGCGCTTGTCTAGCATATGAGATCCTAGGTTCAATCCATCATCGCAGAAAAGGAAAAGACTCATAGGAACTTAACGACAAGCTGGACTCAAGTGGTCCTTGTGCCTCAGCTGGGACTAGCATTCAGACCACCGTGCCCAGGCTTTGCTTTACCATCTATTCGATACAAGTATTGATCCTAGTAATCTGTTTAGCTTTGTTCCATTACTTTTTGACTTAATTCTAGCTGAGGTGTGGCTCTATAGTAGAGCTCTTTGCCCAGGGGGTCATCCCCAGCAAAATAATAGAATCTTCTGATTCGTAAATCATCTTGTTTAATAAGAATTTCTGGCTGCTTTCCCGCGGGTTCCGAGAGTTGGCGGCACAATCATGGTGGACATCCTGGAGGTCCCCAAAGCGCGCATCAACGTCAGCATGTTAGCGCAGTTCATCGACCGACCCATGTGCTTCGTGGGGAAGCTGGAAAAGATTCATCCCACTGGAAAAATGCTTATTCTTTCAGATGGAGAAGGAAAAAATGGAACCATTGAATTGATGGAGCCACTTGATGAAGAAATCTCTGGAATTGTGGAAGTAGTTGGAAAAGTCACAGCCAAAGCAACCATAATGTGTGCATTCTGTTCGCTTTGATCTTGAACTTTACAATGAAGCTGTGAAGATTATCAACGAGTTACCTCAGTTTTTTCCTTTAGGGCATATAAAACATGAATGAACTTCTTAAAATTTTTATGATTGCCAGTGAGCAACATTGAAAGATTTTAAAGAAGACTCCTTAAGTTTGAGTGAGAGACTCCTCTAATATCTAATATTTAATTTGCTCTTTTTTATGTATTATGTTATAAATCTATTATGTAACAATTTACAACAGTCTTTATAAAATTTTTAAAATGGCTACTTCTGCATATGGTCTGAAAAAGAATTTAGAGTTTAGATTTCCGATGTATAATAAAAATCAAAATAACAAAAAAAATAAGAATTTCTGAAATTGGATGTGGTTAGGCACACCTGTGATCTCGAAGGAAGGTCTCGAGTTTAGGAGCTATGGAGTGAGATAGACCTTCCGGGGTATAGGGGGTGTCACAGCGTTGGTTTTGTTTTTTTAAGAAAAAAAGACTAAGGAGACCTAAAAATGAATGCATTGGCCGCTAACCCTATTGTTGTTCACGGGTGTGTTCTCTCACCTCATATTTTCAAACTAGTTCATTGCCAGGAAGTGAGCATAATTCATATTCAAAATGTTTTGGTAATTACTAATCGGCATCCTCCAAATGTCAAGGAACTTAATAACTAGAGGAGAACTCATACGCTGGTATGCAAAAGCTTGCAAACAGATGCCCCCCCTTTCAGTGAAGGATTAGCATGTGCAGTTCATCCACACCATGGCTTTTATGTAGTCCAGTTCCTATTTTCATGGATGTCTGACGAGTTGCATTTGAAAAGCAACCCTAGTGGGAGGGAGCACACATAGCCTCACGTGTCAGACAGGGTCTCTACTGCTGAGCTATATCCCTGCCCCAGTAGTGTGTGTAATATTTTATCGTTTCAGTACTCTTTTTTTTTTTTTTTTTTAGGCTTTTCGAGACAGGGTTTCTCTGTAGCTTTGGATGCTGTCCTGGAACTCACTTTGTAGACCAGGCTGGCCTCGAACTCACAGAGATCCACCTGCCTCTGCCTCCCAAGTGCTGGGATTAAAGGCGTGCGCCACCAACGCCCGGCTGTTTCAGTACTCTTGAAAATGTCTAGAAAATGCTCCCACAAAACTACGTGTGTGTCAACAACTTGTACATTGGGTATGGTGACTAATCCCAGTAGAAGCCGACAGATCTCTATAGAGTTCTAGGCCACCTTGGTCTACAGGGCCACTTCTAGGCCACCTAGGACAAAACAGTTAGACTTGGGGTTACAGGGGTGGGAATTGCACAACAAACCACCTTGGTGAATCTGTAAATTGCCATGTCCACAATGGTCACCACTCCCAGGAATGATACGGGAAAGAGGGAGAGGAAGAAAGTGTGGGAAGTACCTTCTCCTGGCTTACAAGTGAAATAAAAGAAAGTGGCCAGGGTAAAGCTGGGCTCCTCGCTCAGTGTCAGCGTCAAAGACGAAGCCCTCTCCAGAGAAAAACCCAGGGTGATTCCAGCATTCACAGGGCCTCACAGGTCGCATTCCGAGCTTATGTTTGGGCAGTTTCTAGAGCGGCTGCTGTTTACAGGATCTACTGTAATATACCAAATAGCTAAGGCTGCTGGTTCTTGTTTCAAAAGAGAAGAACACAACTGCATAACCAACTTAAGTATTTTCAGCCAAAGTTCACCCTGGGAAACGGATTGGGTTGGTGACTGGCCCACAAATTCCAGGAATCTTCTCATCTCTGCCTGTAGAGTGCAGAGGTTACAAATGCATGCTGCCACGACTCGTTTATGTAAATTCTGGTACTCAGGTCCTCCTGCTTACAAAGTGAACGCTATACCAACTAAGTTATAAACCCAGACCTGTAAATTGTTTTTATCATAATACAGGCAATATCAGTCTAACAGCTTGCCTTCTCTTTTATCCCATCTGTCAACATGGCATAGGAAATTTCCCTGTTCTCTGATCTAGAGACAAACAAATCTAGAACATCCAAAGTAACATTTTGCACAGAACAAAACACAGCAAAGCGGAAAGCATCTACAATTCAAAGAAATACTGGCAACCAGGAAATGTTTATATATATATGTATGTGTGTGTGTGTGTATGTGTGCGCGCGCGCGCGCGCGCACGCGCACGCATATACAGATATGTACACACACATTTTTGCCTTCCTTCTCTTGCTGAATTGAAACAATTAGGGGAATTTGATGCAGTGGTGGAGCTGGGGAGAAAAGCACGCAAAGGAGAAGCAACCAATTCTAACAGCTGGAAGCGGGCGCCTGCACGGGTCGGCCGCCAGGCGGCACTGCCCGCTTTCCTCGCTGTGTAGTGAGTGAGCGCCCCCACGTGGCGAGTCAGGGCTTGAGACTGCACTCCCAGCCTTCGCCTCCGCCTTCCGGAAGTACGCTCTAGGGCGCGGCGAGTGCCCGCCCTCCGGGGGGCGGGGCAAACGGGGGCGTCTGTCCACTTTCCCCGGGACTTGATTGGTTAGTGCTCCCCAGCGCGCTGACGTCATTCCGGTGGACGCTGGGATTCGGAAAGGAGCGCGGGGTTTGCAGCTCCCGGGGTCAGGTTGGCGGTGAGCGGTCCGTGTTAGTGTTGCCGCGGGAGCTCCAGCCGCATCGCCCTTGGCCCGGGAGCCGCCTCCGGTGGAGCTTCCGCCCGCGACTCCCAGCCAGTGTCGCCGCTCTAAGTGCCTACTGTGAGGTGAGCGTGTGGCGCCCGGGCGACATAGGTCAGGTGTAGCCGCGGACGGGATGTGCCGTGCTCACAACGCGATGAAAGTTTCACATCTGAACGGAAATGGGTGCCTGGGTCACTAAGGCAAAACAAACAAACTGCTCCTGGGGACGAAGAGGCGCACTTGCCGTTTATTACGGCAGGTGCTTAGTTCCAGGCCCACCGACCTAATCCTTGAGGGACTAAGCCCAACACAGAAAACTAGTCTATGAGTTCTCCATCCCTGGCCAGTGATTTCCCCTAAAAGCCTTTTGCAAGTAAATGGGGAAAACGTGGCACAGTGTTGGTTTATTCTCGTTAGGTTCCTGGTTCAGAAACGATGACAGAGGTGCTGGATCTCCATGGACAGGACTCCGATGAGGGTAGTGAGGAGGTGGTCCTAACGCCTGCAGAGCTCATCGAAAGGCTGGAGCAGGTAAGCCCCCCATCCCCGCAATAGAGCCCCCGTTCTTAGTCCTTAACTTACTCCACGTGTGCAATACCAGGGCCCAGGAAATAAGGACACCAAAGGTTTATTTCTGAAAACCACTGTATGTAACGTGTGCACAAAAATAGGAAGGCAGAGAGCAGGGCATTCCCGAGAAGAAACCTCTTCCTGTCATTCCTGAAGCATGGCTAGTGGAGGACAGCTTTGGACATACTTAGAACGTTTCCCGAAGCAAGGCACCACTGTGGTGTTCTCAGGATGTAAAGATGTGGGTAGTGGGGGTATGCAGTTATCTATTGTCTGTCGTGTCGCCCCGCCCCCCCCCCAGTATCTTATTTAGCAAGAAAATTCCAATATACCTTCTGGTCATAATAGCAATGATTATTTGTAGTAACTTAGATTTATTTGTTTGTTTGTTTATTTATTTATGGGACAGGGTTTCTCTAACAGCCCTAACTGTCCTAAACTAGCTCTGTAGACCAGGCTAGCCCCAAACTCACAGAGATCCGCCTGCCTCTGCCTCCTGAGTGCTGGGATTAAAGGCATGTGCCACCACCACCCAGCCCTAGTAAGTTGGATTTATATAGAGATGGTTTCATATACATATATTCATGAAACACACACAGGCTATTGTATGTGTAGTTTTGTGTATATATAATGCTTGGGGTTTTTTCTTTTTGGTTGGCCGGTTTTGAGATAGGGACTCACTGTGCATCATTGGCTGGCCTTGAACTCTCAGAGATCACCTGCTTCTGCCACTTGTGTGCTGTCGGTAAAAGCATGCACTGCGACACCCTACAAGTTCAGGGGCATGTACGGCATATACTCTTGACTGGTGTTTATAGAACAGCTGATGATGGGGTGCCCAGCTCCAATGGATATGTCTACAACATAGCCCCTGCCCTTCAGGCTCAGGGAATATCAAAGAAGGGGGAGCAGAAAGACTGTCAGAGCCAGAGGACCAGGAGATCTGCTGTGCGAGTGTCTTCTGAATATGACAGGGAAGCCCATGACAGCTCAGTAATATGGCTGTTTAAACAAGACCTGAACAATGAATGACAACACCAGCTGACATCCCAACGGAATGGAGGAGATCTCACAAGGCCCCCACCACTCAGTTAGCTGCAGGCAATCAACAACTGCTTAGAGAGCGAGGGAGAATTAGTCCTTGAGGATGACGTCCCTAAACGGTTATCCAGTACCAAAGGGCAGTCCTAAAAGCAACACTAAATGAACTAAGCAGGTTGTGGTTATGTGTTTATTTTCATACATATGTAAAATAAATAAAAAGAATTTGAGAGGGAGTTGGGGGATATGGGAGGGGTTGGAGGGAGAAAAGGAAAGGGGAAGATCTATTTTAAATAATAGGTTTAAGAGATTTCCTGCAATGCAGCGTTTCTCGCTCCAGTGATTGTACTTGTTTGTGGGACTATGTAACCAAGCACAGATTGAGTGGTTTACCAAGAGATTTATTTTTGCATTTAAGAGGCTGAGATCACTGTGCTTGCATGGTTGGTTTCTTCTGGGGCTTCTCTCCTCGGCTTGCTGGCGACTCTCTCCTGTGACTTCACTTGGTCTACCCTCTTGGCTGTGTCTGTGATAAAATATTGTTTTCTGAAAAAGAGGCCAGTCACATTGAATTAGATCCCATCCTAATGAGCTCACTGTAGCACCCTCACCTCCTTAAAACCCTTTTCCAAACAGTCACACTTGCAGGCACTGAGTTAGAATTACAGCAGGAGCCAGGCGTTGGTGGTGCACGCCTTTAATCCCAGCACTCGGGAGGCAGAGGCAGGAGGATCTCTGTGAGTTCGAGACCAGCCTGGACTACCAAGCGAGTTCCAGAACAGCCTCCAAAGCCACAGAAAAACCCTGTCTCAAAAAAACCAAAAAAAAAGAAAAAAAGAATTACAGCAGGAATTTTTGATTTTGTGGTTGTGAGGACAGAACCAAGGAGCTGGCTCTCTTCTGATAGTCTTCTGTGGGAGACACGTGTCATGTGCATGGGCCCGTGAGCCGTCTCTAGGTTGTTTTGCTCCATGGTGTCACTCATTTTCCCCGTGTTGGTTTATAGGCATGGATGAATGAAAAGTTTGCCCCTGAGCTCCTGGAGAGCAAGCCTGAAATTGTCGAGTGTGTCATGGAACAGCTAGAACACATGGTAAGAGTTCCTTGTCTCCGGGTTATGGAGGAAGAGAAAGCTAACAGCATTTGGGCAGCGTAATGAAATGTGCTTTGATAGCAAGTCTTTGGTTGACTCAGCCCAGTGCTTTAAAAGAAGTTCCAACTGTATTGAATATACAACTGAAAGAGTGAATATACGTATGGGGGCATTTATTACAGTGGCTTACAGGCTGTGGTCTGACTCCCAACAGAAAGGCCAAGAATCTGATAGTAAATAGTTCACTCCGATTGGATGTGTGTCTCAGCTGAACTTCAGGATAGGTTGGAGTCCTATTACTAGGGAAGGAATGCCTCAGCAGCAGGGTAGATGAATTTGCCATTGAGAGCGAGGACAAGCAGGCAAAGTGCAAGAGCTTCCTTTTCCCGTGTGCTTTTTTCCCCCTCCTTCTTTCTCTATGTAGCTTGGAGCCTGTCCTAGAACCTGAAACTCGGTCTGTAGACCAGACTGGCCTCGAACTCACAGAGATCCACCTGCCTCTGCCTCCCAAGTGCTGGGATTAAAGGCGTGTGCCAGCACTGCCCGGCTTCCATGTAGGCTGCCCACAGAATGTAAGATCAGTCTTTCCATCTCACATAATATCAAGGAGATGCCTCACAGGTGTGCCCAGCTGCTTGGGTTTTAGTTGATTCCAGATGCGGTAAGATGACAGCCAAAATTGTTCATCTGTGTTTATAAACTAAAGAGGTTCCATAAAATGTTTTATTTCACTGTTACGTGTATGGATGTTTGCCTGCATGTGTATGTGGTACATGGATACCTGGTGCCTACAAAGCCCATAAGAGGGCATCAGATTCCCTGGAGCTGAGGTTACAAATAGTAGTTATTAGCTGCTCTGTGGGTGCTAGGCACCAGACCTGAGTCCTCTGCAAAAAGAGCCTGTACTGCCAACCACCAAGCCCTCTCCAACCCAAGAGTTCCTATAAGTACCAGCATGTCAGCTTCCTGAAAACATTCTAAGGTCTACATTCTACCTAATAGGACTTGCCAGAGCAGCTAAGTATCCTCCCGTTCACTGTGCTGTCCTGTTTCCTATAATTCCTGACAGCCCTTCCTTCTTAGATCTTTAACCTGCTTGGAATGCTGAGGGCCTAGGTTATTACCACCTCAGAGCACATTTACAGTGTCTGTGTTTTATAGGTTCTCACGGGGGGTTGTTGGGTTCTTTTAGCATTGTGTATGATGCTCAGGCACATGTTTGCATGCGTGTGAAGGTCATAATGAAACTTCGGATGTCAACCTTTCCCTTCCACCTTGAGACAGGGTCTGTTAGCTGCTCACTGCTGTGTATGTCAGCCTAGCTGGCCTGGGAGTGTCCAGGACTGTCCTGTCTGCCTCCCTTTGTGTGGCATGAGTACTGGGATTGCAGACATACTACCACATCTGGCCCTACACTTAGGATCTGAGGATTAAAACCCAGGTTCTCCTGCTTACAGTAGCAGGTACTTTACCCACTGAGTGACCTCCCCAGCCCCTAGGCTAGTTTCTAACACTCCCTTAGACAGCTCTGCTCCTGCCCTATTGCCTCCGTCACACTTGGTTTCAAGTCCTAGGCCCTGGTGGCTGACCATTTTCAGATTCTATTCAAATGGTCATCTTTAAAATGAGTGCTTTTGAATTATACACCTAACAGAGTTCTTTGTTATCTTACAGTGGCATAATCTTGGGGTCCCTGACTTTGCCAGTGTTTATGGTGCGTTTGAATATCATGATTTAAATTTCTCCTATAATAGGAAGGAAATCTCAGAAGAGCCAAAAGTGGGGATCTGAAGGTCAGTATCCATCGAATGGAGATGGAGAGGATCCGCTATATCCTGAGCAGCTACTTGCGGTGTCGACTCATGAAGGTTTGATGGCTGTTAATGTAGTAAAATTTAGGATATTGAATAGCATGGGGAGAAGTTCAGGACCTGAATATTCTAAGCCCAGCATCACTGAAGCCAGAGATTAAGGAGAGTACATTCTGGGAGGTGTAGCTAAAATTATAGGTATTGATGTTGAGCTTTTTTAAGTCTTATTACTGTTTTCCAAGCTTTATATCTTATTTCTAGTAATAACTCTTACAATTAAATGTCATTTTTCTGTCTGTGTATTCTATATTTTTTTTTCAGCTTTTGTGTGGGTTTCAGCTCCTAGGAAGATACCTGTACATTAAATATTAAATGATATCCCTTCTTTTACTTAACATTAGATACAGTTGTTTTCTCAGAATTTCTTTGCCAAAAGGTTTACTCTGTGAATTGTCTTCCTTTTGGGGGTCTTGGTGTTAGTATTCAGGCATCTGTACTGGCCTGCCCTTGGGGTCCTGACAGGATATGCTCTCAGCTACAGCCACTAGGAGCACCTGTGCACATTCACCACGTTCCCTTTCAAAAGGGCCCCGCCCACCTCCCATCTCTTTCCCTCTCGTATCTCCCCCCCCCCATTCCCTTTCTCTCCTTTCCATCACTCTTGTCCTCAGGGGCCGGTCTCTGCTCCCTTCTCTCTCCTCTTCCAGTAATCCTCCCATGTAAGCCCTGTCGTATGGTGTGACTTCTCTTCCCACTTTTAAATGAACAACACTTGGAATCAATCTTTCTCTGAGTTCTTGGAGGCTTGCTGTTTGTGTCATTTTCTTTTCTGACCCCTGGTGCTTGGGGACCCGGGCCTTGCACATGTTAGCCAGGTGCTCTACCGCCAAGTCACATTCTCAGCTCCTTGTCAGTTTTATTGTCGCTGCTGCTGCTGACTTTACCTATGTGGGTGTTTCGCCTGCATCTGAGTCCATTCACAGTGTTCTTGTCTGGTGCCCGCTGGATTCCTTGGAACTGAAGTTACAGATGGTTGGGAGCTGTCATGTGGGTGCTGGGAATCGAACCCAGGTCCTTTGCAAGAGCAATAAATGCTCTTAACCACTGAGCAATTTCTGTAGCTCTTGTTAGCTTTAAAACTACTAACAACCTCATTCAGCAAGCCCCAGGACAATGAGAAACAATGTCTCAAAAACACACACACACACACACACACAAACATGCATAGGCACACACAAACTAAGACTGGGCCTTGGTGCAGCTCAGTGACTGAGCACTAGCCTAGTATATGCAAGGCACTGAGATCATGGAAGCAAGCATGTGAACCCAGAATGATCAGTTTTCATTTTTATTATTTATCTTCACAGATAGAGAAGTTTTTCCCTCACATCCTAGAAAAGGAGAAAATGCGACCTGCAGGGGAGCCTTCCATCCTTTCTCCAGAGGAGTTTGTCTTTGTCAAAGAGTGAGTGAACAGGAAATGTGGGGCTGCTTCTGCACTTGATTCCAGCGTGGGCTTCGTCCACGGTGCTCAGCCTGGTGGCCATGGCGGCTCCTGTGGATGCACACTACAGCCGTTTGGCTTTCTTTGTTCCAGGTATATGGGTCACACGGAGACCCATCTTAAAAATGTTGCCTTAAAGCACATGCCTCCCAACCTGCAGAAAGTGGACCTCTTGAGGGCAGGTAAGCCACCTTTTCTAGATCAAGGTCAGGACCATAAAGTACATCCCAGACATCCATCTTCAGATACCTGAGAGTCAGCTCTCTTTACTCAGTATGCAGAGAAGCAGCTAAAAGGAGAAAAAAGGAAGGGTTCTGGTTAAAAATAAAGGCAATCAAAACTAGATGTCAAGGTCCCTGTTCCAGCATTACTCACCCTTGTGACCTACAAATGGAATCGGACTCATGGCTGCTACTCCAGATACAGCCACATACTTCCTGAGCATCTTGGAGGATCCTGGGCCCTTCTGAGCTCTAGGGAAACAGGCCTCACAGATTTCTTAGGATTTAGAATGTGGTAGCTACAAAGGAGGTAGAAACAGTTTTCTGCCTCTAGAAAGGGCTTTTCAGCTCTGTTGTAAAGATCGGCCGGCCGAGCTTTTGTGTTGTCAGTGAGATCCACATCCCTCGGCTTCATGGCTCCCTGTAGTTGAATCTAGTGGGATAAAACTGCCAAACCAAATCATCAAACCTGTCTCCAGGGGACCAGGTCTTACCTGGGTTACTGAGCTCAGTGTACCCAGGCCACACAGTGGTGCCCTCATCTCTTGCCCTGGCATGTATGCTGCACCAGGAGCATGGAACAGTCCTAGCACATTTGAACAGCTCCCAGTTTTGCTTGTTGGATGTCTAAAATCAAAGCACTAGACTTAGTGTCTAGTAGGAACTTGTCCCCTTTGTGTCCTGCATGGACAAAGGGAAGAAGCAAGCATTGGGGCCTTTTTTTTTTTTTAAGATTTATCTTTTATTTATTTATTACATATACAGTGTTCTGCCTACATACCAGAAGAGGGCACCAGATTGAATTGTAGATGGTTGTGAGCCACCATGTGGTTGCTGGGATTTGAACTCAGGACCTCTGGAAGAGCAGTCAGTGTTCTTAACCTCTGAGCCATCTCCAGCCCTGGGGCCTCTTTTAAAGTCACTATACCCTTCTGTTTTAATCTCTTCTTAACAAACACTGATCAGACTGACTTAGGGCCTACCTAGAACAGCATCATTTAAACGTCAGTACCTTCTTAAAAGCCTTCCTCCACAGTTCCATTCCAAATACCAGAAGTTATTACTTGCGCATATGAATTCCAAAGGCATATACTTTAGCCTGTGAGACCTGGAACAAACCAGATCCATACCACATTGTAGAATTCTAAGTCAGTAATTTCACTGAAACTGCTGTAAGAAGTCCAGGAGCGGAGTAGTCATTGAAGCACAGCCCAGCTGTGGCACACATTGACATTGTTGGTCAGCGGTGGCAGAAGGGTGGCAGCAGTTCCTTAGCCTTCATCACTGAGAGACTACTTAAGGTTAGGACCATATTCCTTTGTCCAACAGACAACACTGTGACCATGTAACCCAAGCGTCCCTGTGTATAAATTCCTAGATCTTGGTGTATGTTTTTGTCTCGGCCTGTTGGTGGCATTCCCAACTTCATTTCCCCTCTTTAAATCCTGGGCTTATAAAAGAAGAAAAGCACACCTGCTCCTATGCCCCCCACTTTTGAAAGCTTATACCACTAATGCGAGGCTTCCCTGGTGGCTCAGTTCCCATCTCATCTGGAAAGATGTGTTAATACTCGTTTGTATCTTCATGAGTTGCAGTGGTTCATACTCATCTGGGCTTCACTTTGCAAGATGTGCTATCTATAGTCATCCATGCTCCAGAAATACAAACTGGACAATTCTAGAAATAACTTGTTTTAAATACTGAACTCTTGGGACTAGAGAGATGGCTCAGTGCTTAAAATCACTTGCTGCCCTTATAGAAGACCTGGGTTCAATCCTGGCACCCACATGGCACTTGAGAGCTGTCTGTAGCTCTAGTTCCAAGGGTTCCAACACCCTCTTCATCATAAGTCTCAGTAGATTAACTCTAGTGGTTTCTGTCATGTTAGCTGTTTTTGTCTTTTCCTGGCAGTTCCCAAACCAGACCTAGACTCATATGTGTTTCTGAGAGTGAAAGAACGACAAGAAAACATCCTAGTAGAACCAGAAGCAGATGAGCAGAGGTGAGTGGCATGTGTGGCTTCCCCCTGGAGATGGCGCTAAGCTCTGTGCATAAAACGTGTCCTTCTCTTTCAGAGACTATGTTATTGACTTGGAGGAGGGCTCACAGCACTTGATCCGATACAAAACCATCGCACCTCTTGTTGCTTCTGGAGCAGTTCAGTTAATATAAAACAGCACAAACAGGCCTGAGGATGTGGAATCATGGACAACATTAGAAACCCTATTTCCTTTTGTGTCTAAGAATAATGGAGTCACGTTCCATACAGTAGGCTTTCCTCAGCAATGTGCGGACTACTTGGCCACAGAAAAAGAATCAATGTGGATTCCCTTTACCATACCCTTCTCCTAACTCCCTACTGTTCTAGCCAGCACCAGCAGATGGGGCCATCGCTCTGCTTGTATACACAGCAAATAAATGGACTGTCAGGTGTGTTCCTTTTCTTTTTCTACTATTTATTGAGCTCAGGAAAGGTCATGAAGAGGGTTCTTCGGCCTGCCATGGTGGGAGATGGATTGGGCATAGGTTGATAATAACAAGAGAATTCCTTTAGCTTTTCTGGTAGAAGATCATAAGCAGATTAAAGCAAACAGTTACGGTCTGCTTCTATGCATCATTAAATGTATGGCCTAATGTTTTGGAACTTCAGATACTGGACTTAACACAAATTTCCATCATGCATAACTGAAGAAAGTCACAACTAGCTAAGCCACTGTTAAATGTCAGACTTGCGGTAGGAGTCATCTTTGAACAGCTCTTAGCTTACATTCTAATGAAGTAGTTTCTCCCTGTGCCTTATTCAGCTTTGCCTGGCAAGGCGTCAGGCCATCTGGCTGTCTCTGGTCCAGCCTCTGAACAGAGCATCATCATTATTAACTGTCCTAAGTAGGGACCTCAGCAGTGTCTGAGGATAGAATGACCTAATGTGAACAGCTTAACACCTGCAGGGAAGACAGCTTATGAGTAAAAGCAGCCTGTGTTCAGTCTCTTCTTCCTTTCTTCCTTTTTATTTACTTATTCATTCATTTACTTATTTTGGTACTGATTTTGAGACAGGGTAGTTCTGTCTATCCTGGAACTCACTATATAGACCTGGCTGGGTTTGAACCCAAAGATGCACCTGTCTCTACCTCCCTGCTTTGGCATTAAAGACATGCACTTCCATTCCCAACCAGTCTCTTTGTGATAATGCAGATTTTCACTTACACAACATGATCAGAGTAAGCCAGTGAAATTTCTGTCACTGCCAAGAGAACCCTATAGATAAAGGCAAAAACGTGTGACATTATCTAGTAAGTTGCATCCTCCAGAGTAGCTCTGTCCCCTGCATTAAATAAACAAACGTGTATGGAGCAGACCGTGAGCTAGGCACAGCTGATGGACCTAGCTGATGTAACAACCCTGAATTAAATATTCTTTGTCCCTTGCAGATAATTAGGGTGATGTACCAGAGTGGCCAGATTTGTGGCTGTCCAAAGCTTGCAGTATATTGCTGCAATAAAACCAAAAGCAGCTTGGGGAGGAAGTGATTTCTTTTGCTTGCTTGAACTTCCACAACCAAGTTCACCATTTGATGAAAATCAGGGCAGAATCTCCTGGAGGCAGGAACTGAAGCAGAGGCCATGGAGGAGCAGTTACTGGCTTCTCTTCATAGCTTGCTTAGACTTCTAATAAAGGGGAGTTTGCATTTCAAAACCAAGTGGAAAGATTTTACTTTTTTCTTTCATAGTATTTTGCCTTAGGGTTAGAAACTTACCACTAAAATCATGACAGATGTTTTCATCAGATAATTACATCATCCTTTGTTGTAAGCTTGTACAATTATGCAAGAAACTTAGCTAAATCATAGGGTTAAGAGTGTAAGTTCACTGGTAGAGTGATGCCTGTCCTGGGTTTCACCAAGCTTTCTTTTTTCCCTCTTTCCTCCCGGAAACATAGTAAGGCTTAACAAAACACTTTGGTTATAAGCATAAAGACATGAGATTGTACCAATAAGAAAGTAGACTGACCTACAACTTAGACAACTAAAAGAAAAGAAGTTTCTAGGGTTGTAAGCTTTGATATGAGAGGAAGTTTTTTTTTTTTTTTTTTTTTGGTTTTTCGAGACAGGGTTTCTCTGTATTGATTTGGAGGCTGTCCTGGAACTCGCTCAGTAGACCAGGCTGGCCTCAAGCTCACAGAGATCCGCCTGCCTCTGCCTCCCGAGTGCTGGGATTAAAGGCGTGCGCCACCAACGCCCGGCAAGAGGAAGTTTTAAGTTCTCTTAGAGCTATAACTTGGTGCCCAAATTGATCCCAGCCCAAATGATTTTTTATTGTCCTGTTTTCTCGGAAAAGCTTTGTTATCAGTTGCGTCCAGAAGAGGAAGGAGTAAAGGCGATTAATGTGCATTCAGCAGATATCTTACGTCATAAGAAACAAGCTTAGAAGACATGGGTGGGTAAAAGGAATTTGCAAGGGTCATAATTGAGACATTGAAGAACTGCAAGAAGGCTCCCAGTGCACCTTTAATCCCAGCACGTGGGAGGCAGAGGCAAGCAGATCTCTGTGAGTTCAAGCCTAGCCTGGTCTATAGAGCCTGGTCAAAGCTACACAGAGAAGCCCTGGGGGAGTGGGGGGGACACGACACTGACACTACAAGAAAGGAAGAGGAAGTTCTTTTGCAACAGTTAAGGAAAGTTACTCTGCCTTACGTAGGTCTTACCTTGAGGACAGTCGTGGGGGTTCTGTTTGAATAGATAGGCACCTCACTATGATGAGAAGTAATAAATTTTACAGCACAGGCTGTATAAAATGCCATGGGATCATTAGTAATTAGGGTCCAAATAAAACATTATTGAGTCAGTAGGAAGTCAGGCTCCAAGTAGTCATGGCTAGTTGTTGAGAGTATAGAAACTTAGCTTTTGTTTCTACATTGTGGACAATGAGCAAGCTGCATTCCACAGATGACTTTTAATCCATATTGTAGCCCCTAATAAGCATAGTTCTCCATTGGCTATTGGGTCCTGGTCATGTTGTCCTTTCTCTTAACAATTTATCTCTTATGTCTACAGTTTTACTCTTTTGTCTTCACTTAGATCCCACAAAAATTCCTTAGGGAACTGATGGGGGAAGTCCTTCTGTGTATATGTTAATAAAGCACTGTTGGCCAATAGGGAAGCAAGATAGGTGGGACTAGGAGTTGAGGAGGATTCTGGGAAAGAGAGACACAATGAGTCACAGTGTAGGATGCAGGAGAAGTAACATGCCCCGACCCTTCCTCTGGTAAGAGTAGACCACATGGAAACACTTAGATTAGCAATTATGGGCTAAATACTTAAGTCAGAGCTAGCCAGTAAGAAACGAAGCAAACAGGCCAACAACTTATAATTAATATAGTGTCCTGTGTGTTCTTTGGGGGCTGAGACAGTGACGGCAGGGCCCAGGTGGCTGGCAGGAAGACTACACATGACAAATTGATGTCAGAAGTGGTTGCATGAATTTCCACATAAAATGACAAACTTAGTATTAATATTAAATATAGCATGTTGGATTGTGTACCAGATATTTGTAACTCTCCTTACAGGCATGTCTGCCTTCCACCCCAAACAAGCTGGCCCTTGTGCTGAGAGAGGGGGTATTCTGCCTCTCTCTTTTATAATTGATCCTCACCTCTAAGGTCTTAATACTTTGTGATCTCCAACCAGCATTATATGCTTCTTGATGTTGCTCACTAGTTTGGCAATAATGTAATAAATAGAACTAGAGAGCTTGGAGAAAGTTGATCAGTCTGCTTCTTTTTACTCTTTTTTACTTTTTCCCCAAGTTTATTTCTACGTCAGAATAGTATGGTTTCTTGCTTTTAGGAAAGAAGTAAGAATTACATCTCCATCTTCTAAAGATAAAAGGAGCAACAACTTTTGCTCCTGAGTTGGGGACTGACCACAGCACCTCGTCTTCATTGTACCTGAGCATCTGCTCTACACTACCCCAGCATTGGCAGTCAGCTGGAAGGGATACAGGCCAGATACAGTCACTGCTGGGGAAGGGATGGGACCTAACTGGGGAGTTAGCAGCAGCTGAGTGCATGCCACTGGGTGTCACAGTACAGGCCTGTGCCTATGTCAGTAGACTCCAACAATTGCTGCCTTGTTCAGGGTGCCACCTCAAGTTGGGCTGGACAGATATCTGCACAGCTGGGCTTCATGCCTTCTGTCTCTCCTAACCAGACGTGACATTTTGGTTCCAGAATACATCTGCCCTAGAAATAAATACAGATGCTAGAGGCTCTGGGGTGATGAGCTGATCATCCCTGCCAGAGTCAACTTGAAAAGACCCACGAGCCGGGCGTTGGTGGCGCACGCCTTTAATCCCAGCACTCGGGAGGCAGAGGCAGGCGGATCTCTGTGAGTTCGAGACCAGCCAGGACTACCAAGCGAGTTCCAGGACAGCCTCCAAAGCCACAGAGAAACCCTGTCTCGAAACACCAAAAGAAAAAAAAAAAGAAAAGACCCACGAAAAATAGAAAATTCTTAGGACTCGGAGGGTAAAACAGCTTGGTGGAACTGTTTGGGAAGGATTGGGTGGTATGGGCTTTCTGAGGTTTCAAAAGCCCATGCCATTCCCAGCTGTGTGCACGCCCTCCCTCCCCCTCCTGCCTCATGCTTATGGATCAGATAGATATAAGCTCTCAGCTCAGCTGCTGCTCCAGCACCACGTCTGCCTGCCTACTGCCATGCTCCCCACCATGATGGTCATGGAGTGTACTCAACTTCTGAAACTGTAAACAAGCCCCAAAATACGTCCTAAGTTACTTTGATCATCACGTCTCTTCACAGCAATAGAAAAAGTAAGAATCAGAAGGAGTCCAGGACAGCACATCACAGAAATACCTCCACACCAGTAGTTATTACAGCACTATTCACAGTAGCTAATGGAACCAACCTATGTGTCCAACAACAGAGGTGGACAAAGAACATGTGCTACTATAAACAACGAAAGTTTTTTCATCCATAAGAACAAAGTTGCATCAATTGCAGGAAAATGGATGTAAGGGGAGATAATTATTGAGTGAATTAAATAATTCAGTCTTAAAAAAACAATCACATTTTCCTCTCCTGTGGTTCCTAAATTTTAAATAAGCATTTAAAGGCATGTTTGTATATATGACGTGGAAATAGAAGCAAAACTGTCTAAGGGAACAAATAGATGTGTGATTATGAAGAGCATGGGGGAGTGAACATACAGTCAAAATATACTTATAAAAATATCCTTATGGGGCTGGAGAGATGGCTCAGAGGTTAAGAGCACTGACTGCTCTTTCAGAGGTCCTGAGTTCAATTCCCAGCAACTGCATGCTGGCTCACAACCATCTACAATTCAATCTGGTACCCTCTTCTGACATGTAGCCATAACACTGTATATGTAATAAATAAATAAATCTTAAAAAAAATA